ACGTGGAAAAAATCAAACGATTATATTATAGCTATATGTAGTTCGTACAGCCAATAGTGACGGCTGCTGCAGCTGGTACCGTACGCAATTTTCTTCCGTTAAACGAGTTCAATTGATAAACGAGACAAAAAAATAACATGTCAAGTGTATAATATTATTATAGTAGTKGTCTGCCGTTAGAAATTGACAGTGTCGAGCAGAATCCGGTTTTCTAAACATACGCGCTACCGATGCTGGACAAATAAACTACCGTGCAGAGTAAAATATGAGGAAAAAAATTAAAAAAAGCCGCCGTTAAAAACATTATAGTTAATACATAGTTGTACATGAACAGAGAACAGAAGTCATGTTCTCGGGGCTCAATATGTAATTAATTGATTACAGGGAACAAATCTGCGGATATACAATATGTACACTGTTATTTAATTATTATTGTTGAATGTCACCGTAAATATAGTGGCAACGGAGAACTATCGAAGAAAAGAATTATCTAAATCCACCATCCACTCGATTTACACAGAAGTAATGTAGATAAGGAAACTTGTTTTGAATAACGACTTGTAAATAATAATATGATAAATAACTTCGAATCTAATCACTTATAGGTGTATTTGTGTGACGATAATRTTCTGAAAGCAAACGAACGTAATAATCGAAAAATTACAATGACAATTATTTAGTTGAATACGGTGTGCTAATTCTAGTAAAAGTAAAAAATAAGCCAAACCCTATTCATGACATTAAAAATGTACCATCATAGTCTTGTGTAAATCTGTGACAACGCAATATTTTTACTACTGGCCTATTGCTTATCATTAACAGATTGGAACAAACGTATAATCATTAGTCATCATTCGCGTTCTCAGTTTATACTCGGCGTGTGAAAATCCGCGATTTTTAAGAAACAATAATGAGAATTTCACTCACCTTTATTATTTAGGTCTAAAGTTTCAATTGCAACATTTACAATAATTACTATGCATTTAGACGTATAACTGAATTTTAGCGTATGACGTCATTTAAGTTAATGCCAAAATTTTTACTTGAATATTAGAGAATAATCGTTTAAGATGAAAAATGCGAAATATATAAATGGTGAACTTAAAATATCAGAAATTGTGTACCATGTCAGACATGCCCGTCAACGTGTTGTAACCAGTGGTGCCAAAGTCTAAAATTTTACCTATGACATTAAACACCTCCACATACAATTTTGACAAACCACTTATTTCTTAAAATTACCTTATTATACACCAAGTATAGTTTTTATGTAATATTATTGACTTATAGTTCACAATTAATCTACCTATAGTAATATATCTTATACAATTATCATAATAAACTTAGAATGACAAAGATAATACCTGCCTACTAAAATCACCTATGAAAATTGTCATAGGTAAATAGTAAATATATATTTATCCCTCAGTTACTTGTAGAATGGATTAAAAAAAAGTAATTTAAAATTAAAATCTCGATTAAAATTGTATTTAACAAAAAAATCTAAAATTGTTAAATAACTTTAACACAATTTCAAATAAAATCTAACATGACAATAATTTATCATCATTTTTAATATTTGGAATCATTTTTTTTTTTTAATTAACTTATTTATGTAGTAGGTGTTTCTGTGCGTTTAAAAAGAAACATTTATAGGTATTGATGGTAATTTTCAAAAACTTTATAGCTAAAACATAACTGCAGAGTATAGTAATTATAACAATTGACATAWTTCATAGGTATAATTGTATATAAATTTATTACACTCAATAGTAAATTAAATGCGACTACAGTCTAAATTGGTTACAATTATGTTGAAGGGGACTGATGTAGTRATGTCTGATTTCGTTTTAGTCCCCGGTTATGCTGGTGGGTCGTAAAAGAGTATAGACAAAAATATTCAATAGACAACATTTACGTTTTTTTTTAAAAATCATAATCTTCAGCTAATAATCTATTATTAAACATACTGTTTTTAAAATTGTACGTTATCTACTGTGAGTTGAGTAGCATCATTTTTAGATTGCAGCTGAAATCATCGAAAATATTCGTTAAAAAGTCCAAACTATAAACTATTAAACGATATTATACTTTCCCGAATAAAAAATATTCACAAAAATGGATAAATCTACAGCTTAAAAAAATACGAGTGGACTATAGGTATATATACATAAATGAAGCAAATAATATAAAATACGTTCTGCGTTCTTCAGGGCAGTGTTCAAATTATTATTTAGCTAAGCCACAGCAAAAATTTTATTTCTATTCATTTGAATGGTAGAAATAACTTGAAGAATACTCAAAAAGTCATAAGGCGAACGAATTCAAATAGAAATCATTTATATACATTATGACCTTATGTATGTCGAACTCCGAGCACCATCAGCCAGGTCAACTCAAAACGATGTGTTCACGGCTGGTCACAAGATAAGCTATGTCAACTATACGTGTGTTACGTACTTTTTATAATATTTTTATGCTAAAATAGTTATTATAAACAGAAAGATTTAAGTAAATAATATATATATTTTTTTTTTTTAATTTAAAAGTTTTCAAATATTTTGTAATATTAATTATTGTAACTTG